CTTTCAGCAACAATGAAGAAAAGTTTTCAGGAATGATCTTGCTTTTATAGGTAGTTACTGCCTTGAAAGGTCCATTATTTACCAAGTACAAGTATTGTTCTCTGGTTCCAGAACAAACCAGGGAAGATTACGGTGCTGAAAGCACCTGAGGGGCTGGTGTGGGGAGGGAGGGAGTGAATGGGTTCCTCCTTGTATGCTGGCTGTATTCCAATTAGCATGGATCCCAGAGGAGGCCATCAGTAGAGGGACCGAGCTGCTGCTATATTATTATCTAAACCCCTCTGAATTTTTTCCAGTTTGGTGCCGTACCAGGAGTGTGTGACTTCACACAGAACTGTGTTTTGTGGCATGTCACAGCATTCCTGAATGGTGGGGAGTATGGTTGCATGTGTGTGTCCACACAGCCGTGTGCAGGGGCATACCTCACTCTGCTGGAACCCAGCAGCATCTGACGGAGCAGCTTCCTGACTAGCTGGTAGGTGGCCACTCTGTGACCCACTTAGGTGCTCTCGAGATAAGTCTCTGGGAGAGCACAGGTGTGGGTGACAGAGATGTACAGACTGAGGTATGGTGTCCCCAGTAAAAGGATGAATGGTGTCAGAGAAATTTCTGAATAGAAATTAATGCTGACTGGCTTTCAGGAAGGAGAGGGCCATTGTGCTTGTTAGTGGGTATAAGAAGTCCTCTGTGGTACTGGTTCAAGGGAACCTTGTGAGGTTTAGGAAGAAAAGGCTGAGCTTTTTATCCAGCTGGGAGTCTCAGTAAGCAGTAATGGAAGAATATGACACTGGGATACTATCAGAGCAAAGAAACCAAGTAAAACAAGTTCTGTCATGGCCTCCCAGTGCTGCCTCAGGACAGCCCTCAAGGGCTTTAAATACTGGATGAAAGCATCATCAGCACAGCATGTAACAATCACTGGTAGCTCCAGATTTCTTTTGGGGATCTGAATAAGGTACTTTCCTCTGTATTTTGAGGAACAGGTTGTCAGAATATTTTTTTTTTTTTAAATCTGTATTTGCTGTGAAGGACCCCTGCAACAGCCATTTGTGGAAATGTATCAGCCCAGTAATAAACCCGTTATTGGCTGAAAGGGAGGGGTAGTAGCTTCCCTTTAACTGCTTAAGTAACATAACAAAGAGCAATGGCAGGTGGGATGCATCTCTCACCCTGTTTCCACAGCATCTGCAGCATCTGTGCCATGTCACAGTGATGACATGGTGGAGAAAGACCTCTCACTGTGGCCACCTGGCAAAGGTAAAGGTGGTAAGAACTCTTGACCTGGATGACAGAAAGCATGAATATCGGCTAGAGCTGTAAAGCTTGTAAGTGAACTCCAAAGACCTGCCATGCATGTATATGCAGTATTGAAGACCAAGATGTGTAATGGATAAAAGCACACTGTGAGCACCAGAGTTATCACAAGGCATTTGCCATCAATAGAAGAGATGAGGATCTGTTGTCTAGGGAGAAAATTCACATTGGCTGAGAGCACACCTGCTGCTCTTTGTTACAGCATTTGACAAAATAAACAAGGAGTTTAAAAAATATGCAAAGCATGTGCTTCCTTCACTCCAGAGCAGGAAAAGGGGGAATCTTTGTTTCTGTTCAGTAGATCACCATTCTATACAATCTGGGTATTTTTGGAGCTATGGCCAATCTAAAGAGAAAGATCCCTGCTGTGGTAATTGTCCACTCCCATGGTACATTTTAGGTACTGCCAGAGGGCTCCTGGCATATTCAGGAGAGTTGAGGGTTTTGACGCACTCTTGCTCATGATAGATGACAGAAGCTGGCAGGATTAAAATAGCCTCAGAACAAACTGCTCTTAATCTTGAAAACAAGCAGACATAAGGATGCCATGACCTATTCCCATAGAACAGGCAGATTCCCTGCTGGATGGCTCTCAGGCAAATGATGAACTCAAACAGAAAAAAAAAAAAAAAAAACAGTGTGTGAAAAAGAGGAGACCTATCCTTAGTCAGGGTGCTGTTAGCCATGATCAAAAGTCTGTGTTTCCCTCAAATTGTCATCCAAGGTTCTACCTCTCATTACTTTCCTCCTCCACCACCCTTTGAAAGTTTAGCAGCTGCATGTGCTTAATGTAATATTTTCATTTTTAATGTAAGAAAGTTATGTTCCAAGGCCTTGAGTCACATTAACTAAAACACAGTTCCATTTCTCATATGGAATTAGTTCTTGGTTCTTCACTTACGGGGGAAAAAAAAAAATCAAAGATCATCTTCTTGAGCATCTGAAGATACTGTAAAACTTTGTTTTGATCAGTTTTCCAAGGCAAGAAAAATGTATTTGTTTCAAGAGTTAAATGGAGCAAGCAAACAACTTTCATGGGTAAGCACTGAGCTCTTGAGCTAAATGTCTGGATAGGAACAAGAGAAGTATGGGAATTAGTCTACTAAGCTGGAGAAAATATTTTGCTTGGGAGCTCCTTACAGCTGAATTCACACAGTACTTCATTGTTACCTGGATTGCTTATACCAGAAATAACAAACTTACTTCCTCCAGACCCAAATAAAAAATCCCTACCAAAAGCCAGGCTCAGTGACAATATATGACCTTTCCTTTGCTGCACTCAAGGACTTATGGTGGGTGGTGACACACAGAGAGTCTGGAAACCTGCAAAATGCAGAGATGGCCAACATCTCCCTACAATTTCTGCTTGGGTAGAGGTAAATGACAAGTTTGGGATGGCAGCCTGTGCTGTCACCTTCACAAAAGCTCCTAGGTTTTGAGCCTGTTGCATTTGTCAATGGCTGAAGAAGGACATTTGCACCCGTGAGAAGCACCTAAGGCACCTGATCACACGCAGCTCTGGGAATGGGGCTGGCAATTAACCTTAGATCTTCAGGTTTCAGCCTGATGCCTCCCACAGTGACTTCCCTTCCCAAAGGACCTGGAGGTCACACCTTGCACCAGTGGCCTCTGGCCACTGCCGGAAGGAATCCCAAGTGTGCGCTCCTGCTGGGGGAGGCGGCAAAGGCCTTTTACCAGAGTATCACTACTGTGGGGAACAGGAAGAAAAAGGTGTAAAAAAAGGAGGAGCAATGGGGCCACAAACCCATCTCTCTATTTTGCTGGTGGTTCAGGTTGCATTAAGGAAGGATTTCCCTAACTTCAGGGATAAATAAAAACTGCCTGTCAGTCACCATTCAGTGACCAAGTAACAGAACTGTCAGTAAAATAAACAGTTTTTTCAACTTACAGTTTGAAGCTGCTATACTTAATTCTCTCCTTTTTTGTGGTTTATTCTGAGGGGGCTGAAAACCAAGTATCTTAAAAATTACTTTTTCTTTTCCATCCGAGTAACTGTTTGGTAAGTTTTGATTTAGGCAAAGCAAAGCAAACTATCATATCCATCATTAGCTGCAATTCTTTTACATTTCAAGTCTGATAATAAAATACAGAGGTATGCTACGCATTTCCACCAATGAGTGGAAAGAGTTATGAAATTAGCAGTAACAGATAAATAGGGATACAACTCACTAATTTTAAAACATAGTTATGTCATTGTTTTCAAATGTCAGAATTACTAAATTAACAGAAGTTTTTGTTTTCTTGTCAATGCATCCTAATTTATGACAACTAATAGCTTTGAGATTTTTTGTTTTATGCTGTTTCTCACTCTTTAATTGCGCTAACCCATCAGTCACTTTCAATTCACTCTCCACAACTGGCACAGAAGCATTTGGAGCCAGACTTTGAGGAATTATGCCACACTTTTTCCCCTGCATGTTTGACCATGAGCATTCTTCCCCCTGCTGTTGCAGGCCCCCCTTTCACACCAACGGAGTCCTGCTCATTGCTTCCTTGTCTTATATCCCTGCCCTGCCCTATTGAGCAAAGGCCTTGACTTTCAGTTAATTCCACCTCAAGTTTTAGTAAACACTAAAGCTCCAATGTGCTGGCCAGGCTGCCTGCACATTGCCTCTTCCCCGGTTTTTCTGTGAACATCTGGCATGCTCATTTTACACTCTGCATAGTGAAACAGAAGTATTAGATGGGTTATCTACACAATGCAGATACATCACAGTTATTGCAGATACACAGTTATTGCTAAAACTGTGGTTAAGCTGCTATGGGGCTAATATCCTTAAATACAGTAACATACTAACACCAATTAACACCAGAGAGGATTTAATGCTGCAATTTTCCCCAGATTTTTTTTACTTACACAGTATCATAATGCTGCTTCTATTTTCTCAGCAGTCACAGCATTTGTGTTTTGAAGGATGCAATTATGCACATGCCAACTTCTTTCCCATCAGCACAAAACACCCTCCACTTCTCTCTCTACACCTAACTGGTCTTTGCCAAAGAGTGCTTCTGTTGCCTAAACCCCGCACCTGACCTATGACCTCACAACCAAAAGACCCCCTGCTTAGGCTGCACTTTCTTTTCTTGGGTCAGATAGGAAAGAACTCAACCATGTATTAAAACAGGAGCTTATTAAGACCAGCTTCATGGTTTGCTCATTTTCCCACTGCTGCTCAAAGGGCTTTACGAAGCAACAGCTTCCACCCCAAAAAGAAGCAGCGTCTCGCACCCCTTGGCCCCCCACCCAACACAGAACCAGGGGAAACACTTTTCTCTTCTGTATTAGTTACCAATTAACTTCTCAGTTTGGCATCTGCAGCAAGGACAGGAAGTGTTTCATTGCATTGATTCTTCTGAAGACTTTTTATGTAAAATATTGAAGTCAATGTCCTCAATAAAATTTATCTTTTGTTTCCTTCAGAACAAACATGAGGAACAGAGGGGCAAAAAGGAATTGGAGTATATAGGCTTGTTTTCTTCTTATAAGAAGCTAATCTACAGAGGGTAAAGTTTAATTTTCTCAGTGTAAATAGCATGTTTGTTTAGTGCTCTCAGGTATATTTCCAAATAAATAAGTGGAGCAATACTGCTGTTAACATCTGGATTTTCAAACCTCCCTGCACCAATGTGAGTTAACAACAGATCACAAACACTCTCAGACTAAGTACAGGGTGGGGAAAAGGACTGTTTTTGCTTGGTGACATGCCTTTAGACCAGAAAGTGCTTACAGCATAATAAACTATAAATCATTATATGAAAAAATAAAAACATTGTGTCACTTGTGCAGGCAGAAGCGAGTGATGTCATCACTCATCCTTTTACCAAGATGCTCTTAGACCTAACACTGTATTTCCAAATAAGATGGTTTCCTTGACATTATGTGCTGATATTTCTTTTAACTGAAAAATCATTGTAGAACATGCCTTTAAAGAAAATAAAGAAAGAAAAAACAAACATTGCTTCTTACAAATAATGTAGATTATAATTCCACAAACAGTAGGGAAATGTCTTAAATCGCAAGATTTTTAATGAAGTAAAAAAATATAAATTATTTAGTTACGTAGTTTAGACTGCTCTGAAGTGTGATTTTATTCATAGTTTCAAAGAAAGATGGAAATCCTGCAGCTTCACAGCATATGTAATCTGGTTATCCTGCAGCTGCAATCTTACAAAGGCTGCTGATTGTCACCCACTTTGCACAAGCAAAGCCTTCTCCTACTGTTTAAATATTCCTGTTTTACAAACAGCATTGTTAACAATAGCACTGAAGGACGCATTTACTCAACAGGTGATGGAAATATTTTCCTATATTTAAATGAGATGTAATTACAACTCTGTTAAAACAAACCACACTCTGTTTATAATGAAAGTTAAAGCAGCCCCAAATCACTGTTGTTACTCCTCTAAGACCCTGAAGAGAAGACACCAGCTCCCAGATGTTTAACAGGACGTCTGTAGAAAATTGCTGCCTCTCCAGGACGGTTTGTGTGAATGATGACGAGATCTCTCAAGGCTGCTCTTGGGGGATCAGGTTTATTGGGGACGCAGGAAGGTCCTGCCTCGTGCTCCCAGACGCAGCACGTGGCAGGGCTTGAGAGGGTGGGGGAGGAGAGAGACAAAAGGATGCTCAAGGAAAGGGGGAGTTCCAAGAGAGGGGAGGGAGTTCCAAGAGACCGTGTGGCCCCTCGAAGCCCCGTTTTCAAGGAGCTTCAAGGTGGGCTGGAACAAGGCTCGGGCCAATGGGGTTACAGGCACTTGATGTTTTAGGGAAGGGTACAGGTGCAGGGTGAACCATACATCTTTTGGGGGATGGAACAGTCCACTTGACCCCTGGACCCATTTGTAGGCAGGGGCATTGTCTGGCTAGCTGGGAGAACTGTTCTCATCCTGGCTGTGTTATTTATGGATAATCATATTTATCTATCTTCTGCAACAGACGTCATTTCAAATGTGTGCAGTCACATACATACATATATTAAACAAAGCAAGGCTTGTACCGACTTAACAGATTCACTATGAATTTCCTGCTCACATTTGCCAGGAAAATAATGATTTACCAGTTTTAGACACCTCACAGGCTTGCAGTGTAGACTGACTTTTTTTTGGACCACCTTTTCCCAAAGATGTATTAAACCACAACTCTTCCAGAGCAACCTATGAATCACTTCTTTCACTGCCAGTTTTTTTCTTTTCTGGATCAAGATAACTGCCTTCAAATAGCATTCTGTTTTTCATTCCTTCTTTAAGCATTCTTTGCCGGATCCTTTGCTGGGCCAAGTTGTACCTGCAGTAAAACCTAGAGGAGGGGATGAAAAGGAAACACAATTCCCTGTTTTATATGAGTGGCAGTATCAAACCAGAGTCATTCAGGTAGCCGAAAAGTTGCAATTACATGGGATGATGGTAGTAAAATTAAGCATGCTGCCTTTGGAATTAGGACACAAGGATGGGGTATGAAAAGGAAAAAATAATTAAGAAAAATGGAAATAAGTGAGGGAGTTGATAGCTTAGGATTGAAGAAACAATAGGAAATATTTTAAAAATATATATATAAACAAACATTCAAACACAGTGAAATGTTTTCCTTTCAAGAAGATAAATATTTTGGGGAGAAGGAAGAGGACACTTTGCTAGGCAGGTTTTTTATTGCAGTTTCAAAATCAACATGAAACACTGTTTCTGAAAACTGAAACATAGAGATCATGTTGTCCAATTCAGCCAACGTAGGCCTGTCAAAACTGAAGAATCATTTTACATACCAGTATCCTAACATTGTGCAAATATAGCTACCAACTGCAACATCACAAGATCTTCTAACTCTACCTGAAAGAAAAACAAAAAAATCTTCTGAAAAGTTATGTATGAGTTCCCATTATTAATAACACCTAACAGCAAATAGAAGTATTTTTCTTGCAAATAAATATATAAAACCTAAAAGGAGTAAGTACTTACTAGTTGCTAAAAAATGTCCAAGACCCATAACTAAAGACCCCAAGGAGCCATAGAGCACTGAGTCTCGTGCACACGGGATATTTTTAACATCGAGAAATCCCAGGAGTTTAAAGGGCTGTAAGGCAAAACAAAACAAAACCCATAAATTTAAAAAATCACTTCTGTAGAAGTCTATGATGCCAACTCAACTGTAAAACTGACTTGTTATCTTAATAGTCAAGCATAACCAGTTGAGAACTTACTGCGCCCAGGATTATAGATGATCAAAAGTGAACAGATATATTAGGGATGTTTTTGGAAGAGTTAACTATTAATTTATATAGTATAGTTTTGCAGAAAACTGTTGATCCATCCTTTCCACTGAATAGTAATTTACATTCCCCCAAAAAAGGAAGGGAAAAGACCCTTAAGAATCCAGGATTTTTATTACATCACAACAAACAAGAAAGGTTACAATCAAGTATGCAGTTAGTCATGCTATGTAATTTTAGTACCTGAAGCAAGTAAATGTGCTTGAAAAAAGTTAAGTTACTGGAGAATGAGCATGTAGTAGAGAACCTTATACTGAATAGAAACATTCATAAACGACTAATTTATGTCCTGTGGTATACCCTGTGTCTAGGCAGGGGCTGGGCACATGGGTCAGGCTCAAGGCGGCTGCCCCTCAATAAAACCTTGCACCTAAGCACACTTTACTGCTGTCAATCCTTTGGTCAGGGGTGGTGCGAACACGTTTCAGTCTACTGTGCTTAAATCATTAGAGCATGAAAAATCACGTGTGCAACTGTACCGGAATTCATCAAAGGTGATTGTTTTATTTTGTTGTGAAGGTATTCCAATTGGTCAAAGCAGATTTTTAAGACGGAGTGCTACAGGACTGACTGCTTGTGAAGGGGTGACAACTCTGTGAGAAGTCCTTGTGTCACTGTGGTCATGGGGGTGGCAAGCATGGAAATCCCGAGCGTTAGTTTTATCCACGCTCCCTAGGGACAGCCATCAGCTGTGCCTGCGGACAAGCGGGACAGAAGGAATGTGGCTTATGTTGGTCGAACCTCCTAATGAGTAATTTCAAGCGCTCTCACATGGAAGAAGTCACTTGATATGCTGCTGTTGTTGGCTAAGAAGGTATCGCTGCTACATCCATGCAGCGTGATGCATCCTTTTAAAATAGGGTCTCACCTGTTGCCAGGCTGAGCATCATTTGTTATGTCTCTGAGCACTGCTGCCCACCGGCCTCACGAACCCTCCAGTCTCACCGCGGTGTTTCGCCCACCGAGAGAATGTCCCGCGGAGGGAACACAACCAAAACCTCGCTGCACCCGCCTGGCCCTGCAGAGCTTCAGTTTTGCCCGAGGTTTCCGTGTATTGTTCCCCAGTTATTTCCTGGGGCGGCGGGGGACGGTCACTACTGCTCTGCAATGACCTCCCGCGTCCCAGCGCGGGGCTGCGCCTGCCGCGCGGCTCCTCCTGGCGATCACGATCATCCTCCTCCTCCTCCTCCTCCTCCTCGCCCCTCGCCGCCCCCCCGCCCGCCGTTACCTTCTCCGGCTCAGAGTCGCCCTCGCCCGCCATGCCGCGGCAGCGCCTCCCCGCCCACACCAGCGAGCCGGGGCTGCGCCCGCGTACAGAGCGGCGCCGAGGGGAGGCCGCTCTGCCCGCCCCGTCTCTATGGCGCCCGCGGAAGGGGCGGGGGCGGGCGCGCCGCCGCCATTTTAGGTCCCGGCGCCGTGCGAGGTTCCAGCGCGAATCCTTTGTTCGGCGAAATGGGTCACGGCGCGGGGGGCGCGCGCGCGGGCACGCGGCCGGGGGGGCGGGGCTCCGGCGCGCGCCCCGCCCCGCCCCGCGCAGCCCGCCCGCTGCCCGCCGCGGGCGCGCGCCCGGGCTGGGCGGGGCTAAGGGCGGCCCCGGGAATCCAGTGCACGGGCCTCGGGATATAAAATGGTCCCTGAAATAACGAGGAAAAGATGACTTGTGCAGCTGGGCGGAAGGTCCCCCTGTGGCAGCGAGAATCAGGAGGTGGAGGAAGCATTCGGTCTGGAAAGCGGCCTCCTGTGAGGCCGTGCGGAGCAGCGCCAGGCACAGCCCCAGCAGGTTCGGCTGGGGTAAGTCTGTGCTAAACCACTTGGACATGCTAGAAATTACCCCTTAGGTGTGTTACTGTACCTGCAGTAAGGATGAGAAAAGGTAAATAGTGCCAAGTGACTTAGGACACAGGTGCATTTCTCCCTGATACCATAAAAATATATTTTGCTGCAAGAAGACATTGCTCTCCCTGCTAAGTAGTGAATTACAGGGCAGGTTCAATTTAGGACCTTTTCTATCTAAGCAATGAAGTATAACAAGGATGAGAGATGTATAATACTGCTCTTTGATCTAAAAAATAGTGTGTCCTGACTTAGGAGGCATGAGCTATCTTCAGACCTTGTTAAATAAGTGTTTTGGGTTTTTTTAATCCTATGCTAAATAAAGTGGGCTTTTTCACACACTGAAATTTATGTCCATTTGGATTTTCTGTTACTACTTTTTTCTTTCCTGTATTTGTGGGATTTTGGAAACAATGTACTTTCACACAAATAATGTGCACGTGTAGCTGAAAAAAGTGCTGAAAAGTGCTACTGCACATTTGCATGAGCTGTTTTAAATTTCCCATGGATTAGAAATAAATCTCAATCCTTCCCAACTGTCCCAATCTATCACTGTTTTGTCGTCTTCATAGACATTGCAGGCAGAGCTCTGAACACACTGATTCAACGCTTGCTATCCATTTTAAAAAGATCAGTAGGAGTCATTTGAATTGTGAGTAGTTTGCCTTTTAAAAAATAATGTATATTATGTACGTAATGATGCAAACATGGGACATTTGCTATATGATGCGAAAACTAAAATTATTGACATAAGCTGCCCTTGGAAAAGCTTGTAATGTCCAGTTTTATTTTAGTTGGTTTAAAAATTAAGCAGTGACAAATACTGAGGAATGTAGGAAGAAATCCCAAGAGAATATTGACACGTCTGAAATTAACAAGAGCACAGTGGTGACTGCTTTTACTGCTAATGAGGTGGCCTGGCCTGCAGCAGCTCATATTTAGAAGGAAAGAATGGAAGGATCTTTTTTGCTTTGAAAGAATTAAGATGGTGGAGAGCAAAGTATATAAATAGAGCCTTTTCTGCCTGATAGTCAAGAATAGGTTAAGGAGAAGTACACAGTTTTCCCTATGTGTCATTTATCCTTTTCCCAAATACCCAGATCATACAAATTACACTGCAATAAAAAATACCATTCTAATTTTTTTTCCCATCTCCTTGGTACTTGGTCATTACTCTGCTTTACTGCTGCACCTCACAGCTTGTCCTTCAGAAGCTGCTCCAAAATCAATTCCTATTACCCTTTGTTGATTTAGAACAGGGCTGCTAGTTGGTGCTTCAGATGAGTGAAGCTGCTGAAGCCGGAGCCTGCTTAGCTTAAGAGAAGAGGAACACTTGGGATGGCCTGAAGCTTTCCCTCGTGTCCCATAGGGACCTGAGATGCCGTGTGTGCAGAGGGCACAGGGTGATGTCCTCCAGCACTTGAGAAGGGCAGGGCTCTTAAAGTGTACTTCCAGGGCCTCATACTTCTGCTGCTTTTACCCTTGTGTGCTCTGAAGGCTCTGGGAATAGGGTCTTCTTTTGCACATCCTGGGTTCAAATAAAAATGAGGGTAGCTACTTTTAGCTCACTGAAATGCAGGTTTTAGCCTGTAAGTTGATCAAGGAGATTGAGGCTCTGTGAGCAGGTGGTACTTTGTAAGGGTGATCACATACGGAATGTGAAAGCTGCTGGAATATGCCCACTGCCTTGCCAGTGTGACTTGCTGCAAGAACTGGACTGGAGTTTTTTTTAAACTCTTGGTACACCTGGCCCAGCAGAGGCACATCCCAGAGCATCTTCTGCTGTATTCTGCCAGTGTGCATACAGGGAAGGTGGTACAGCAAAAGCCCCTGTGTGCATGCCTCTCTCCATTAACAGGGACACTGTGCTGTTTCTGGAAGCCAGGCATCTTGTATATGCAAGTTTGGAATTTCTGCCTTGAATTTCTGACCCTAAAGGACACAACTGACATATCTGAGCATTCTTGTTTCCTTAATGACATTGACTGGAGTTGGAGACCTTTGGCAGACCTGCCTATGCATGGTCAGTTCTGTCCATCATAACATGCTGGTTGCCACTTGCTCTCAGCTGTTTGAACTTTTCCTGTATTTATTCAGTTCTTATTTCTATTAGCACTGATCAATAAAGTGTATCATCTTTAGCTGTATGCCTCTCCATCCTGAAATTAACAGCTGGCCAATGGTTTGGGTTGGTCTTTGACAGCATCTTAGTTCTGTCACCCTTCACCTCTGTGTTTAAAGGTTAGACCAGGCAAAACTCTTGTCAGTCCAGGAGCAGGAAAGAGACCACCATATACAGGACATGAAGCAGCAAGAGTGCTCACATTACAACAGTGCAGACAGGAACCTCGCTCACTGACTTCTCCCCTGCTTATTCCTTCGTCAGAAGACTTCACTGAGGGGTTTGATCCCTACATACACAGGTCTTGTCACTTCTGACACAATTTTGGGCTGTACTTCCTAGAAGGAGGAAACCATCACATAAGGGTGGAATTTCCTGCCTTTAGCATCTCTTGGCCATGTAAGTTATTCCTATACTATAGGGTGTTTATGTAGCCTTGTGGAAAAGCAACTGCCTGCAAAAGCTGTGACAGCCTGTCCTAAGAAATAGAAATACATTTATCAGAGGGTGTGGATGACAACCCCTTTAGGTTGATGGCCACCATGGACAGATAACTAAACTTTCTGGTGAATTCAGCATCTCCCAAGGGCTGCATGCTCTGCCCAGGGCATTTGCAAAGGCTCTCCTGGTCTGTCTGTAACAGGTTGTTACTGGCATGCAGAGGCTGCTCTGCTTGTTCATAGCCATAGATACCAGCTTAAACTGTTCTAAGGTGGGCTGCTGACACCAGAGGTGGTCCAGGCCTTCCTCCTCTCATTGCTGCCTGCAATCCTGCCTTCTCTGTATTACCAGCTGTGCCACCCGATGCAGCTGAAAGTTAGCATTACACAAAAAGCTGCTTCCTGCCCATGATGTGGGGTCAAACAGGCTGTTTTTTTCAGAGCAGTGCTGATTTATATCAAGTGCCTCAAGAAGTTGCTCTGTTGAAGATGTTTGGAAGGTAGCAGGCCATTGGGCTCCTCGGCTAGTAGCCGAGTCATGCCTTAAGGCAAATTTTGGAGATGTCCTGTGGGGCTTTGTCTTCATGGTTACCCTGGAGCTACATAAATAGCAGTGAAGCATTTGCTTGTGGTAACCATGTGCCATTTTGCAAGCCATGAAAGCAGGAGGGTACTTAGAGTTGCCAGAAGTCAGGAAGAGGGTGATTATTCCACTCATGTCCTCTGTTGCCTTGAGGGTGTTTGTCCTTCCAGAGAAGAACATTATGTTACTGAATGCAAGTGCGTAGGAATAATGTGTTCTGGAGTTAGGTATTTCTGAGCTGCACTTTCAGCCCCGAAAGCCAACTATATCCTGGACTGTATCAGAAGAAGAGTGGCCAGTAGGTTGAATTCTAATCTACTCTGCTCTCATGACACCCCAGCTGCAGTGCTGCACCCAGCTCTGGGGTCCTCAGCACAGGAAAGGCATGGATCTATTGGAGTGAGCCTAAATGAGGGCCACAAAGATGCTCAGAAGGCTGAAGCACCTCTATGGGGACACCCTGAGGGAGCTGGGGTTTTTCAGCCTGAAGAAGAAGAGGCTGTGGGTATATCTTACAGCAGCCTTCCAGTACCTAAAGGGAGCCTGCAAGAGAGCTGGAGGGGCACCTTCTGGCAGGACCTGTTGTGACAGGACAAGGACTGATGACTTTAAACTGAATGAGGGTAGATTTAGATTGGGTATTAGGAAGAAATTCTCTATGAGAGAGGTGATGCACTGGAACAAATTGCACAGAGAGGTGGTGGATACCTCAATCCTGAAAACATTCAAGGTCCTACTGAATGGGGCTCTAAGCAACCTGGTCTAACTGGAGGTGCCCCTGCTCACTGCAGGGGGGTTCAATTAGATGATCTTTAGTAGTCCCTTCCATCCCAAGGTGCTCTATGATTCTGTGATTCTGTGATGGTTTTTGGGGGTAAATGGTTTTTATGATGGCTGCACAGATACTGTGCTGTAGATTATGTCAGAGTAACCCTTGTGGGGTCGGGGCAGGCACGAGTGTGTGCAGGCTGCTTGTTGCCAAGGCAGTCAGCAACCACGTTCATGCAATTGAATTTTAATAAAACCCTTTTTCCCCCTGCAAGCATTAATGTTAATGCAAATTAACTTTCAGCTGCATGACAGTCTTATTCTGGGTTAGCTTTGCTGATTGTTTCTGTAGGTTGACTTTGCCTAAACTTATTTCAAACTGCTGGTACAAATGATCTTTTCATCTGCAACACATAAGAGATTTTAATCCAATGGACTCCTCTGAAAGCCAAGGAAATAAGGGAAGGCTTCTAATAGCTTTTTTTCTCCTAGATTTTAATCTCTTTATGTTATTTAGGCACTTGATAGAAAAAGGATTTTATATTAAAAAGGTAGCTTATATAAAACATAAGGGTTATAATTGCAGCTATACTGTTGGATATAGAGCTAGATTTAAAATTTCCTGACTCACTAGTATGAATTGGACTAAAGGATGCTTCTAACTAGAAATAGAGCAGTTTTCC